TTGCCTAAAACTTAGCCAAGTGACCACAATTAACTGTAAGGGAGGCTGAAAAGCACAGTCAGCCCTCCACATCTGCACATTCCACAGCCACAGTCGACCAGTCATGGATCAAAAATATTCAAAAAAACATAGCAAAAGATAACAATACAACCAAAACAATACAGTACAATAACTATTTACATAGCATTTACACTGTATTAGGTATAAGTAATCTAGAGATGATTTAAAGGATACAGGAGAATGTGCGTAGGTTATATGCAAGTAATATTCCATTTTATATCAGGGTGTAGTGGATTACGTCCTCCCAGAACTCATTGGAGCTTGAGCTGTGCTCCCCAAGTTTTATGTATTAGAAACTTAGTCCTCACTGTGACTGTTAAGAGGGTGGGAAGTCTTATTATGGTAATTGAAAGGTGGAGCCTTGAAGAGGTGATCGGATTGTAGGACTGTGCAGTAGTTAATGGATTAAAAATGGTGGTCAAGGGCGTGGTTCTGAGGGCTTTAAAAGGAAAGTCTGTCTTCCTCTGTCTGCTCTGCTTCCACTGTCTTGCAATGTGAGACCCGAGTCACTGTCATCACTACCAGATGGGCTTTGGATTTCCTACCCTCAGAAACTATAAGCAATAAATTTCATTTTCTTATAAATTACCCAGTTCCAGGTATTTCTGTTATAGCAACACATAAAGGACTAATACAGAAAATTGGTACTGAGGAGTGGGGTGTTGCTTATAACAAATACTTGAAAATGTGGAAACGGCTTTGGAACTGGGTGTTGAAGAAAGGCTGGAGGAATTTGGAGGAATAGGCTAGAAAAAGCATAGCTGCTGGTGGGAGTTTAGAAGACAAGAAAACCAGGGGCAGTTTGGAAGGCCTCAGAGACTGGTTACGTGGTGGCAACCAGAATGCTGATAGAAATATGGACTGTAAAGACCATTCTAAGGAGGTCTTGGATGTAAATAAGAAGGGACTTACTGGAAACTGGAGCAAAGATCACCCTTGCTGTGAACTGGCAAGGAACTTGGCTGCATTGTGTCCATGCCCTAGGACTTTGTGGAAGTTGGAACTTAGGAGTTGTGAACCAGAGTATCTGGCAGAAGAAATTTCTTAGCAGCAAATTTCTAAGCAGGAAGCTGCATGGCTACTTGCAACAGCCTACACTGAGTTGGGGCAAAAGCAGGACATAAAGCCAGAATTTAAAAGAGAAGCAGAGTGTAAAGATTTGGAAAATTTGCAGCCTGGCCATGTGGTTGAGAAGCAGAGAGCATGCAATGGTGCGGCCCAGCAACCATTAGCTAAGAAGACTAGTACAAAGAAAGAGATTATCAAGAGAAGGAGAAAAAGGCCCTCAAGGCATTATAGAAGCATCTGGGGCCAACCCTTCCATTTCAGGCCCAAAGGCCTAGGGAGACAGAATGGTGTTGGGGAACGGGCCTGAGGCACCCTCCAAAAGCTCACTGCTCAGGCCCACCTTGGGAAGCTGCTTCTAGCACCAGCACCCCAGTTGCTTTGGCTGCTCCAGCTGTGGCTTAAATTGGCCTTAGGTGTGGCTAGACATGCAGCTTTGGAAAATACATGCCGGAAGTCTTGGCAGCATCCACATGGTGTTAGGTCTGCAGGCTTGCAGAATGCTAGAGCTGTGGAGGCTTGGGAGCATCCACCCAGGTTTCAAAGGATGTATGGAAAAGTCTGGGGTCCAGGAAAATATCTGTCCCAGGGGTGGAGTCACCACAGACAACCTAACCTGGAGCAATGCTGAGTGGAAACGTGGGGTTGGAGTTTCAGCAGAGAAACCCCATCAGCGCCATGTCCAGTGGAGCCGTGAGAGTGGGACGGCCATGGAGACCACAGACCTGTGGAGCTACCAGCGTGCAACACCAGCCTGCAAAAGCTAAAGCATCACCTGAGACCAGGAAAGCCATAGGAGTGGAGCTGCCAGAGGACTTGGGACCCCAACCCCCACACCGGCGTGCAGAGGACTTTGAACATGGAGTCAAGTTACCTGATTTGCCAGCTTTCAGATTTAATGCCTGCCCTGCTGGGTTTCAGACTTGTTTGGGACCTGTTACCCCTTTCTTTTGGCCTATTTCTCCCTTTTGGAATGGGAATATATACCCTATGTTTGTCCCACCATTGTATCTTAGAAGTGGATAACGTACTGATTTCACAAATGGGACTTTGAACTTTGGACTTGAGTTGAAACAAGTTAAGACTTTGGGGATGAAATTAATGTATTTACATGTGAAAAGACATGAGTTTTAGGGGGACAAGGGGTGGAATGTAGTAGATTGAATTATGTCTCCCCAGGACTCACTGGAGCTTGAACTGTGTTCCCCAAGTTTTATGTATTAGAAACTTAGCCCGACTGTGACTATTAAAAGGGTGGAAAATCCTATTATGGTGATTGAAAGGTGGAGCCTTGAAGAGACGATTGAATTGTAGGACCATGCAGTAGTGAACAGATTAAAAATGGTGGTCAGGGGCGTGGTTCTGAGAGCTTTAAAAGAAGAGGAGAGTGTCTTCCTCTCTCTGCTTCCAACATCTTGCAATGTGAGACCCCTGAGTCACTGTTGCCACCATCAGATGGACTTTGGATTTCCCAGCCTCAGAAACTGTAAGCAATAAATTTCAATTTCGTATAAATTATCCAGTTCCAGGTATTTCTGTTATAGCAACACAAAGTGGACTAAGGCAAGAGGGACTTGAGCATCCATGGACTCCGGTATCATCAGGGGATCCTAGAACCAGTCCCCTGTGGATACCAAGGGATGACTGTACAGTCTTTAGATGAGCAGCCATGCATCCAGGTAAAACTCAGGAAGTTTATTTGTAAAGGAAGAAGGGAAAAAAATGGATATTACAGCAGTGGTCTGTGACTTGTTTTTTTTAAATGCATAGAAAATAGCCTGGAAGAATTCACACCAAATAGCTATACTACTTAGTTCTGGAACAGCAGCAAGATCAGTGTGGGGCTGAGGAGGCAGAGTATTGCTTGAAGACTTTTACTTTTTTCATTTTTATTTTTTTATTTTGGGGGGCAGCTGGTCAGTACAGGGATCAAACCCAGAACCTTGGTGTTATCAACACCACACTCGAACCATCTGAGCTAACTGGCCAGCTCCACTTGAAATTTTTTAACAGCAATGGTATAGTAATGGTTGTATATTCACATATTAACTAAGGAATTTTTAAAAATTGAGAAAATTTTTAAGCCCTTTGTACTGATATAACATGTTAAATACATTAAATCTATCTACATTGTACGAAGCTTTTAAAGTTCACAAAGTTAGATTTTATCTAAATGAATAAGTTACTCTGAATTATTAAAACCATCCCCACTTAAAGCACTGTTCTCCAAGTTCCTCCACCCGGGAGGCAGGATGACAGTGTTTACAGAGCTCCACGCTGAGACAGAACCTGCCAAGGGCGTGGCATGTTGGTGGCAGAGATGAGACAAGAACTGGACTGAGGACCACCTTGTTCTTCCTGCATCATAACTCCTGACCATATTTCTTACCTGAAGAGAAGGCTGTACCTTCTAGCTCAGTATAATTTAGATTTCAGACACTATCGATACGATGCCTGAATGCTTCACACTAGTACTAGTGAACTTCACCCTGAAAACAAGGGAAACACAATTTTCTTATAGGTTAATGATTACAAAAATAAAAATAAAGAACTTCCCAGAAACAAACCAGTCATGAGTTTTAACTCCCTTCTGAGCCAAGTACTTAAGTTTAGGACTTACTGACCTGTTTAAAAATCCCTTCTATGAATTCTAAATAATGATGATAACATGAAAAAATAATCTTCCCCGTCAATAAATATGAATAAAACTAAAAAACAGAAAGAAAAAATAAACAAGCCAGAATCCAAAAAAAAAAAGCAGCAAAAAATCCTGGTGGGAATATAGACCCTAAGATATCCTTGTTTAAGGGAAAGGGTCCGTGGCCTATGATATCTATCAAGAACGGAGAAAGTAAAACCCGTGTCCTCCAGCCAAAGCTGCATGCAGCCCAGGGGAGGCTGCCCACCCAGACCGTCCTCTCTGGGTGGCAGGCTAGAGCAAGCGGAAGGGCTGGACACAGAGGTCCACTGCAAGCACGAACAAGATGTAAAGCAATGGCATGGGAGGAGAGCAAGCAGAACGCAGAAAAGTGGAAGAGGAAAAATGGCAAGCCAGAGAAAACCAATCCAAGAAACAACCTGCATCAAGACAGCTGTAGAAGAAATTTAAAGAATACAATGAATTTAACAAACAAGACTTCAGAGATGAGATGATAAGATAACCATGAGAAGGAAACAAGAAAAACAAGGGTAAGAAAATAAACTGAGGATCAAGGCCACACATCATAGAACCATACACAGGTAAACAGAGACAGAACAGACTCAGCTGAAAACCAAACCGCTGAAACAGTGTGTGTCACCGCAAGGCCACGGGAAGAGCGAGATGAGAGCACGGGACAGAAGGTCTCACACAGGAGGACAAGCATGCTCTAACAGAAGACAGCATCCTCCGAGAGCCAGCTCACCAAAGGACACAGATGTTCAGAGACATCTGCCAGCATGCAGACAGAGCAACCACCACAGTGGCCACCTCATGGTCATGACGGTCATGTCTGGCTGAGTCTGGAGTGTGCATGCGTGTGTGCACCAACATCTGGTTCTGCTTGGAATTTTTTTTTTTTTTTTTTTAGGAACAAATTTCATTTTCCTAAGACCAACAGTCTCTGTAGGGGGAAAAACGTCTCCCTTTGCATGAAGTAGAGCCTGGGTAATACGAGTACACTACAACTTTCCACAAATACATGTTTTTCGTCATTTACTGCCACACTATTTCATGCCTTACTAATAAAAACACCTGCCAATTTAATAGTACCTTAGAGGAGGACTGTTTAAAGGCAATTAATATGACTCAAAACATAACATATATGATCCTTTTTGGGGGGTAGCAAATGATAATATTAAATGTTTAAAAGTTACACATCAAAATAACACTGTTATCAGATATTAATGAACTAATTTATTGAATAGATCTGAATGAATAAAAGACCTGCTTTTAGCACCAATAAAAAGAATTCTTGAGATTTCTGTTCTGCAAACTTCTAGATGTGCTCCCTGACAGCATCTTTTGGGTAAAGGAATGAATGTGCTCCAAGGAGTAACTGTCCGGTCCCTGATTTTATAACACAATTCAATTCATATCGCCAAAAAGAAAAAAATCAATCCAAGTGTTTTGTCCTTTAGTTAGCATTATTACAACTTTGACGTTTCAGAGAAGAGTTTCTTCTTCCTTAAAGTGTTAACCATGAGGTAGACATCATTCAAAGTAAACATCAAGTGCTGCCAACTTCCATCAACAACGGGATTAATAATCAGAAATTCCCACTGCATTCTGATTATTCAGTGAAGTGAAGGTTTAGGGAGCAAGGCTGATCAACAGTATTCTGCCTTGAGTTTCCAAATTCCTTCACCACCAGAAGTTCTATGAAAAGTGCACAGATTTCTCAACAGTTCTCGGAAGACACAAGACTGCGACGTGGATAACTTGGACTCGAACTCCTGCAGTATCTCCCGAGTGCTGGCCTGGCCATCCACATGGGCCTGAAAAGCGATGAAGTTCCTAATGTCCACCAGAAGGTCGTCGTGTTCCGTGGTGGCAGGCAGCGGGGCACTCGCCTCTTGGAAGGGCTCGTTTTCACTCTCCAACCGCTCCGGCAGAATCAGGTGGTTTCTAGCTCTCATTTTAGCCAGGAGTGAGGATGAACAGAGGGCCCCAGAAGAAGACTCTGCACCTTCTGCTGTTCCACTAAAGTGCTGAGGCATGTTATCTTTCCCCTCTTTTTTCAGGACACTGTTCTGGAGAAAGAAGACCACCGCAATGACACATGTAATTTCTAGTTTATGCCCCACTTCCTTCCCCAAAGGCTCTAAAGGAACACAAAATAGCACATGTGCCCAGATGAGGTTGATGGGGAGAGAATGAGGCCCCATCTAACGGAAAGGGGGGAGGGTCAAACATCTAAATCTACCCATCGTTAAAGAACGCTTAAGAAAATAAACAAAAGGGAAGGCCAACTAAGCCATCCCCGTGGTCACCATCCTGCATGGTGAAAGCAGAGGGGAGGCAGAGTGGACAGGCTGGCTTCTAGGCAAGGTTCCTGGGAAACCTGCTCCAGGAAGCCCAGGCTGCTGCCGGTGCCTGGGGCTTCTCCTGTTCTTCCTCCCAAGTGGGCCCTGATCCACACACTATGCGACGAGGAACAATATCACAGCTATAATTCTTTTTCTCCACTCTTAAACCTTCTTACTCCTTCCCACCTTATACATCATGAACAACAACACAAATCCAACTTTGAAAGGGCCTCAAATCCCTCCTGGATAACATGGGAAGTCAAAAAGTTTCTCTATTCCTAAATGTGTTCATATTAATCTAAAATTGGAGTCTGAACGTGGGAGTTTCCAAGTTTTCTCATTAACATTACCCTTAACCAGAAAGACTGAAGAGAGTACTGAGTGGTGGGGTTTGGCCTACTTTTACTGCCACTGAAGCACTCAAGGCACATGGGTGTCATGGAACAGGGAGAGATGGGCACTCAGCCCCAGCAGCTGGTAAACTGCAGGCAACATTCAAGGCAGTTTTCTGGACCTTCATTCTAGAGGGCAGTGGTCTCTGGAACTGGCACTTCCCTTCCAGATGGGGCCGACTGTACAGGCAGCAACACACCTATCCCTTTATCAACTCTAAGGGCAATACTGCTACAGATCTTGGGTTAAAGACTTGTCTTTTAGGAAGTCAGCTAGTCCTTTTAGATTCAAATGAAAGTACACCATAAGTCAGAGCATCCAACACAAATATCAGGTATCATTATACCAGTGAAAACCATTTTCTTCACATCTGGAATCGGGTGAAATTTTCATGGCAATTCAATCAAGCAAGTCTCACCCTGAAAAGCAAAAAGGCTATCACATTACCTGGCATTTCTCTGCTGGAGATGTTGAAGAAGGGCGCTGCACAGAGAAGCTGGAATTCCTTTTCTGACCAAACCTACTCCTAAATGAGGGAAAGAATCAGAGTAGATAAAAACACTTGCTTTTGTGACCTGGAGATCAAAATTCTCTCTCCACGGCTAACCTCTTCCTGGGAAGATTTTCACGTGCATGGTCATTCTCTCACAGTCACGCCATTTCTCCCCTTCCCTTCGAAGCCTCCACTTCACTCGCCTGTGAAGTAACTGCCGCATCTCAGAATGAGAACTACTCATTATCCTCATTCAAAACCTTCAAATTCCAGGTAGGAAAATTATTATTTTTTTGGCGGCTGGCGGGTACTAGGATCTGAACCTCAGGCCTTGGTGTCATCAGCACCCCACTCTAAGCAAGTGAGTTACCAGCCAGCCAGGAAAATTATTCCAAAAGACCATACTGCACAGCAGAGTAATTACTGATTGCTGTAAACTGGCTAGTCATCTTATTAAAATTTAATCATTACTCTGTATCTCTTACTATTTTTAACGACATCATCTCTCAAACAGAACTGTTCACTTCTCCTTCCCCTGGAAACTCACTATGGAAAATGGGAAGAAAGTGAGGCAGAAGGTAAGATTACAATGGTATTTCCCCAAGTCACCCAAATCTGGCTGACACAATCCCACCCTGAGATTACTGTGAATAAACAAGAGGATAAGCATCCACACCAGCCATGACTTTACTTCTAGCCTTAATTGTTTGGCCTCCCGCAAGCACGGCAAGGCAGCATCTCTTACTTTATTCCTGCTGGTGCACCAGAAGTGCCCCTGTGGCCAGTCCAGGTGGGAACACCAGATGCTGCTCCCAGACACCGCTGCCGAGAGAGCCTCAGGGCTTTCAAGGCGTCCTGGGCCACTCGGTTGGCTTCTGCCTCCACCAGCATGTAATCTGGACAGGCTCCATCCATGATGGCATCATGCTTCATGACGCTGTGCACGCCGACTAACAAGAACAAAGAAAACAGCAAAAGTGATATTTCAGTTTGCAGAGCAGACACTTTTCTCCTCTATAATAGCCTAGTGTGTGGTAGACAAGAAATAATGAACAATTTGAGCTGTTATTGACCAAGTGGCCATTATGACTCAGGAACTTCACTAATGCTGTTTCTATGCATACTCACCACCTGTGAGGTAGAGACTATTAATTATCCCTGTTTTATAATAATTGAAGCACAAGGCTTTAATCACAACATTAACATTTAAACTCCTCCCTGCTACCTGGAAAGGAAGCAAAAACTTTACATTAATAAACTTTTTAGTGAAGGAAAAAATAAAACCAGAGTTATAAAATTTTTTAAAAATAATGATCATAAAAACACTACATATCAGAATCACTGGGATACATTTAATGCAGTCATCACTGGAAAATGCATAGCCTTGAAAACTTGAATAGATAAAAATGAAATAAAAATAAATTTTCAAGTAAGCCGAAAAAAACCCCACTAAAATACACACACAAAAAAAGCAGATGGAAGAAAGTAATAAAGATAAAAGCAAAAATTAATGAAGTAGAGAACCGTGGATCTAATCAAGAAATCAAATCCTGGTTTATTGAAGAAAAAAAAAAGAATCACAAAACAACCAACCTACTTAGCTTAACTTAATCAAAGAAAAAAGGAAAAATAAATTTATGAAATTATAAGTGACAAGGGGGAAATCACCTTAAACCAGAAGTGAATTTTTTAAAAAATCATTAAAAAAGCATTTTGTAGATATATATGCAAACTTGAAAGCTAGGCAAAATACATACTTTCCTAGGAAAACAGACCAGTAACTACAGAAGAGAGAAAGTTATCAAGGAACTACCTTAGAAAAAAGCCCAAATGGTTTCACAGAATTTTAACAAATATTCAAAGACCAAATAGTCCCAATGCTATACAAATTATTCCAGAGAATTGAGAAGGAATTCTTTCTATAAGTACAACACTGACAACTAAACCTGATAAACATATTACAAAGAAAACTACAGACCAATATCATTAATGAACATCAATGAAAAATACTAAATATGTCAATAAACAGAATCTAACAGCAAAGAAAGAAAATAACACACTGTGGCATTATTTTAGGAATTCAAGGTTGGTTCAGTATTAGGAAAACCATCACATAATAAACCTAATATGGTTTATCATGTCCACAGATGATATTCCTACAGATGCTGAAAATGCCTTTGACAAAATTCAACGTTCCTGCCTGCTGATAACACTCAAGAAATTGAGAATTAATTGATATTTCCTTAATATAATAAAACATATACCTTAGTCTTAATGCCAGAATCTTACTTAATGGTAAATACTAGAAGTTATTTCCGCTAAGAATGTAAAAGATGTTCATTATCTCTAATACTTAATATTTTATTTCACATTTGCTAGTGTGATTAGAAAAAGGGAATCAATTAGAGACATGTGAAATTGAAAATGAAAAAGTAAAATTTTCCTTTCGAGGTTTTTTTTTTTAACGACAGTATTCCTTAGAATATACATGTATATATATGTATTTATTTATACATATATATGTGTACATATGTATACATATATGTGTGTACATATGTGTACACATATACACACACACAGGTACAAATAAATATATACACGTACATCTGTTTCTGTGTCCGTCTGTAAAAACCATGAGTTTGGCTGTACACACACACACATACATACATATACACATACATCTATTTCCTAGCTGTTCACTAGAAAAGCAGTGACATGCCAGTAACCACGAACACTCTGAGAACCCATATCCTAGTTTCTAACTACCATTCTCCAGGGCTCCCTGGAAAAATGGCTGATTCCAGGGCTGGGGTAGAAAAAATGAGTTGAGCCCGGAACATCTTGGTGTGCCAGGAAGGAGGTGCTCAAAGAATAATGGGGACACATCAGAGGAACAAAGGAGTCAGCTTAACGGAGCTCCCATTAGGCAAACCTAAGACAATGTGAGTATCACAATAACAACACTAATGGATTACAGTCATAAAGAAAAAGAGAATCCATGAGTCCATATTGATATAAAAATAAATAATAAATAAATAAAGGAGAAAAACCTTCCTCACAGTAGAATGTTAATCACCATTTGGCAGCCCTATAGTAATAACTGACTGAAGGAAAGAATTATCAACAGACATTAAATCCAGTGGACAAAAGCTTGATGAGGGACAGGATATTTACATAGTCTCAAAGAATATACTTCAAAGTACGTACTAATTACAAAGGGAAAAATATTAACTTTAGAGTTGAGAAACCTGGCAGACCCCAGCTTAATCTTAAAAGTTCACCAGTAATAGGACAAAAGAACAACATGTCTCTGAATAGATGCACTGAGTAAGCTGCAATGTCATCTCTGTGGTATTCCTGCCAAAAATGTATGCACGTATGTATGTGCGTGTGTGAATGAGAGAGTAAATGCTGAAAAATGTTAGTAACCGGGGTGAAGGATGTAGGTGAGTTCTTTGTACTATTCAAACTTATTTTAAGTTTGAAATTATTTTAAAACAAGAAATTAACAAAAAAATTTAACCATGTTAAAGTCTTTCTGAAATGCCATACACAAATCTGTCTTCTTGAACAGCACCATAAACAGCAATCTCTGGTAACTCAAGGCCATCACACTGTGAACACAGTGACTGCTGAGGGTGGGGCAAGATAATACCCCTGGGAGGACTAAGCTGTGCGGGGCTATCTGTCCTCCACAGTCTTGAGCAATTGTTGAGTCTACTTCACCTAATTTTGCTCCCTTGAGAATGGCTATCAGCTTTCCTACCTGTAGAATGTTTGCCGCTAGCCATCCTCCTGTCTCTTTCCCCCGATCTGTAACTGTAATCTCCCGTGGCTGGAAAATCAGGTAAATACAGCATGCAAAGAACCTGCCTATTAATGTTCACATAGTGTGCACCTATTTTAAGCATTGCATCCTTCCTGAAGCAGTTATAAGTCAATTACTATTGTTTTCCAAAGTTTCAAATTCTTCTAGGTCTTCAGAAGAGGGGTAAATACAATTTTCAAAATGTCAATACATTTCAAACCTGACTTTTAGAAGAAAAACACTTCTGGCTGAGAGCTCACTCTGCATAGTCAATTAAAGGCTGCTCCTGCTAGAAACAGCCTACTCACCTCCTGACCCAGTACCCCTGTGGCAGATGCAGCAACAGGATTACCTGATTTTTTGAAAAGCTTTTCAAGAACATAATCATCAGTGCTCTGTTTCCTGGCCTCCCTCTCATCTGCACTGTCCTGCTTCTGGAACTGCCTTTTCTTCACCAGGTATGGAATCCGGGTTCCTTCAAACTTGGCGTCCCTGCGATGCTTAGCGTTCTGAGGCTTTTGCTTTGGTCTCAGGTGTTTCTGCAGGGTCTCTGCTGCTGCCATGCCATGATGTTTTGTTTTTGACTTGTGCTTACAGAAGTTATTTTCCATCTGCTCTCTCTCACAAAAGGGCTCTGTCTGAACCTGGCAGCCTTCTCTTTCATGAGAAAGACCGTGCCTTTCATCAACACTGCCCTCAACAGGTGGCATGGACACTGTGCTGATTCTTGGAGAATTTGAACTTTCCCCCTTTTCACTCATCACCGATGACCCCTCTGGTCTAGACACCGCGCTGGCCTCTTCTCCAAGCCTGTAACTGCCAGGCACATTACTACTCGTGTGAGGGTCAGCTTTCAAAGGATCGCTTTGGTGAGAAGTTACTGCATTTACTTCAGTTCCTGTGGCCTTAGATTTCCCCTCAGATGACGTGGCATCATGTGTAGATGCATCAGAACCAGGGAACATTTTGCATTTTAGAATGTCATGGTCTGTTCCAGAGGCTGGTTGAGTCTTCCTTTTTAAATGGCATTTTGGTGTCTGAACATCTGAATCAGTTCCTATATAGGGGAAGACCACAGCTAATATTACATTGCATAATTCTTATGTAAGTTATTATGTTAAATGAGATCATTTTACATAATACCTGCAAAAATAGCACTTGTTTCAGTGCTCTGAGATGTGTCAGGACTAGTCAGAGTAAATAGCTCATAAAGATCATTGGATTTGAAAAATCGCCTTTGTTTGGGATCTTTCAGAACTCTGTTTGTCAAAAACTGCTTGAAGATTTGCCTAGAAAGATAGAAATTAAAGTGGTATGAAACAAAGTTTAGCTCTACCTCAAGGTCAAGTTATAAAACAATGTAAGAGAGAAAGGATATCTGCAGCTGCACAAATGGCTAAATAATCCCCCAAACTTTCAGCCTTGGAAAATTATAATTCTGGAAGTACATAATACATTAGTTGGCCTCCCACATTTTACAAAATTTAAATGAGAAATAACACCTTATTACTTATACTTAAGGAGCTTTTTCAACCTCCAAGATTCATCGCATGTCAAGAAACACCTTTTCACACATAGTCACATAACTCACAGCCTCTGAGTGGGAAGGAGGTGGTCTCCCTGCCTCATGGACCAAGGTCCCCTGCCCACTCAGGACCATTCCATGATGGGGGCTCGGGAAACTCTCTTACCTTCACTTTGCGATATTTCCATTCTGACCTCCTTTCTCCCCAGTCCCACCCACTACTTCACACTCTGCTAAAGTACCACAACATCATTGCCCTCGCAGAGCAATCTCCACAAAGCAGCAATGTCACCCTCGCAGTTACTGATTCTTCAGGCTAAAGTGTGTAACTCTAAGAGGAAGCTCTCTTCTCACAGCATTCAACTTGTCTCCAGCCCTCTCAACAGGCCCTTGAAGAACAGGTAAGATTGCACGCACTGCCCAGCACATGGTGGAGAGCAGGGAACCTCCCTTTAGGAGCTGGGCTATGGGCTCAAGAACAAAGTCTCTGGTGGGGGAAGGGGAGGAGCTGTCATATCCTGGCTCTGCTGTTGAAGTTACCATCGCCTAGAATCCCCTAGTCATTCTATGGAAAGTCGGAGGAAGAAATGGGTGCCCTGCCAACCTCTAAGAGTGTATGAGCCAAAGACCACCAGACACCCACACTGATCACACCTGGGTGATGTGTATAAATGCCAATATGGGGACATTCTATCTTGTCACTTTTTAAATTTTTCTGAAAGAAAGAGGCATACCATAGTAGGTAGGAATGTCTCAGATAACAATTAATATGAAGTTTACACATAAGTGCTTCTTGAAGTAGAATAAGGTAAAAAAATTATTGCCTCCAAAGACATTTTTGAAAAACTCACAATAAGCCACTTAAGCTTATTTTAATGGTAAAAAATACAAAATGAAAACAAAAAATTATATCCCTTAAGTTATAGCAATTGTTACTCTAAGATGGAAAAACCTGCTAGAATAACACTTTTAAAAAACTCCCTGGTCAAAACTCTGGGTGCACAGAGCCAAGGAGCGGGCAACTGCCCACACTGACCGGTGGTAGATCTTCTCTTCAATGGTGCCTGCGGTCAGAAGCCTGTACACGGTCACCTGCTTCTTCTGGCCAATTCTCCACGCTCGCTCCCGGGCCTATGGCAGAGAGAGACGTCTCAACAAGGGCCCTTCCCATGACAAGTGCCAACCAAAAGAAACAAAGATTCCCAGAGTTAGAATTTTGGCTAAGGCCAAGTATACCTAAGGCCTGTGAAGGAAGATAAATAGTCAGTTGACCAAGATAGAACCGAGACATCTCTGCCTGAAAAAAAAGTTTGCAACTGCATGCTCCTTTTACCCCAAATCTAAGAACGGATGCCAATGGATAAACTGCTGAAGACTCTCTTTCATGTCGAAGAATAGGAAACAACCAAAATGCGACCCATATGGTGAAGACAACTAGAATATCAAAGGACAATCACCAGTGCTAACCATGAAACTATATTTCTACTAATACATTCTTTTTTAAAAGTAAAAACCTGACCTGCGTGTCTGTGCTTGGGTTCCAGTCAGGGTCGTAGATGATGACTCTGTTTGCCCCTGTCAAGTTGACTCCTATGCCGCCCACCCGAGTAGTCAGAAGGAACACAAAGATGGATGTGTCCTAGGGGCAAGACACACAGCACTTAGTATGCATACCTAAGACTAGTTACAGCGCCTCACCTCTGCACTCACATATGCCACACGTGGAAATACTGGGCTGTTCCCAACACAAGGATTGTTTATGTCCTAGAGACCTTTGGTGAATTAGCATCTCGTCTCACACTTCTTATTTTTAAATTTTTAATATTATTATATTAGCAATAATTAAAAATTAAGTCTTCAAGAGAAACTCATTCTTTGGTCAAATGCACACACACGCATGCACCTCCCCCACACCAATAATCCATAAGCGCATAGAGTTAAAGCAAAAAGCTCCCCTTCACCTGCTACGCAACCCCTGACGTAAGCATGCTGGGTCAGGTGTGGGTGTGGACACACTAGCTCCTCTCCCTCCACATACAGCAGCACTGCTGGACTTCTCTGTTATGTTTGCTTGTTACCTCATTGTATCTTGAAATCAGTGGTTGTCTTGAAGCTATCGTAGTGGTACCATCCATCTTGAGATAGGAATAATTCTGGGCTCTGAGGAATACTTCAAGAATGTGCAGCATCTACTTGGGGGTGGGGAGATAAGAGTTCACAAATCACATACACACTCCCAATGAGTGCTTCTACATTTGTGTAAATGGTCACACCTTCCCCAATGGGCCTATCTCAAAAGGGGTTTCTTGATTTAAGGCAGAATATAGCTGTTATAACAAGTGTATTTTTAGGATTTCCTTATAACTTTTGTGAGTAGCCTGAGGTCAGGCCCCAACTCACCTGCACACCAAAATTACATGGTGAGTTTTTTTATAAGCCAACTTCTGAACACCATCTCTAGAGAAAGATCCAAACTCCCTAAGAGATCTGCAGGCTGCCTCCTCAGTGTCAGTGTTAGACTTGCTTTGGAATTATTATTCTAGATCATAGCTTGTTTTTTGAATTAGTGGTCACAAGTCACAGAGAAGAAACTTGTTTCCTGTATGAAGTTTGTGCGCTCACCTGTCTTGACTGAGAAAATAGCAATACTCGTTGACCCTGCTTGTACCATATTTTCAACAAAGACTCAACAACAATCATTTTCCCAGAACGTTTCCAGTATCCAAACTGATCTTCTTCTAGCTCATCATCTGGAAGACCTCTGAGGTTCTTGGGACCTCCAGAAAAGAGATCAGGGTGGTTGCAGATTTTTCTTAGAGCTGTAAGTCCAGAGAAAATCTGTGGTGTAAAAGAACATAGGTGTACTCAGATTACCCCACGTAAAATAATATTCCCTCAGGAAGAAGGGGAAGGAGGCTGTTCAGTGTGTAACAGATTAAAAAAGAATTCTTCACCAGCTCGTTAGTTTCCCCTAATCACAGCACTCTTAGGAGCTGGAAGAAAGTAACTTTCATTCATCTTCTCTCCCTGATAGAACAAGTTCTCTAGAAACAAAAAAATTCTTTTTTTTTTTTCCTTTTTGTCTTTTTTCGTGTCCGGCAACGGATCGCAACCCTCAGTGTCGCACCCGTACCGGACCGGGACTGGCAACGGGATCGCAACCCTCAGCGCTGTACCTGTATCTCACTCAGCCAGTGAGCGGGAACCGGTCTGTATGTGGGATCCGAACCCTCGGTGGGAGCGCCACCGAGCTCCCAAGCGGTGCACTGTAGCAGTGCGCCACCAGGCTGGCCCGAGAAACAAAAAAATTCTATTGGATTAAACTTGTCTCTATGGGTCATATTCAAGTACTGATAATTCATTTCACCTCACGAGAAAAAAAAGGTATGCAGTACATAGTATTACACATTTGATATAAGAAACTGAGTCACCTTTTAAATACAGATCAGAAATGTCATACCAATTTGAATTTGGAGAAATCGGGCCGAGCCCGTGGCGCACTCGGGAGAGTATGGCGCTGAAGAAACACAAACCCACACTTAGTGTCGAGCATTGCCAGTAGCTCAAATGTTATCACAGAAGAATTCAGGAAAATGATTCCTCCTCAGTGTGCTTGCCCTAGCAGACCAGGGCTGCCCCCTACATTCTGCACAGGACCATCGGTCCCTGCAGGGCTCATTCTCATAGGCCCTATCGTTCACAGCTATTTTCCACTAGACTACACAGTGGTGGATTCACCTGTAACAGTGATGTAATACAGATGAAAAGAGGGCGCACTGAAATTTAACTATATGTTCTCTTACTTTGGGAAGGGCTTTAATTCTCACCAAAACATTTTCAAGAGGGCCCTGGAGAATCCCTGGGCCAGTGGCAGCCTACACCAGGTGAGTACCGTGATGCCCAGCTCCCAGCACACATACTTTGCTGGCCCAGTACGTTTCGATCAGTTGTCTAGTACCAGCAGCCCATTCTCACTTAAAGTGTCTGGGGACACTCCACAGCAGGAAAGGTGTTCCAGAAAAACAAATTCTATCACATTCATTTTATTTATATAATGCGGTTTTTCTGAGAAGACACTATCTAGCAATTTCTGAATTCTGGACAATAGTAGAAAGACAGCTTTCTTAACATTGGAAGGAATAGAAAGTCCTTTCACACGCTGATAAGAATTACAGCCAGGGACATTTGAACCAGAATTATTTCTGGTTTCTAACATCGTAGTGGTACATTATTCATAGGGGTATGGCGTTCACTCCTTTAAGAAGCTGATAAAACTTATAAGTCCTCATAATCCTCTCCTCTTAATATATAATTTTGGTCACAATTTCTGGGAAAACCCAGGTATCTACCTGACACCCACTACCTGCCAGGTAAGACCCAGGGAGTAACAGGAACTGCACGGCCTGTGGTCACACTTGCATCTGGGTTCCACTCGCAGCTCATGGCTATGCAACCTTTANACGCTGATAAGAATTACAGCCAGGGACATTTGAACCAGAATTATTTCTGGTTTCTAACATCGTAGTGGTACATTATTCATAGGGGTATGGCGTTCACTCCTTTAAGAAGCTGATAAAACTTATAAGTCCTCATAATCCTCTCCTCTTAATATATAATTTTGGTCACAATTTCTGGGAAAACCCAGGTATCTACCTGACACCCACTACCTGCCAGGTAAGACCCAGGGAGTAACAGGAACTGCACGGCCTGTGGTCACACTTGCATCTGGGTTCCACTCGCAGCTCATGGCTATGCAACCTTTGACCAGTTACCCAACTCCTCTACACCCATCTCCAGCTGAAAGCTGTGACTCCCCATCTACCATACGGGACTGCATTCCAGTGAACTGAGATGACATTATGTGGAAACCCTGGCACATTCTGCACACTAGTTTCCTTTCCTCCCCCACTTCCTTGTGTCCACAACTCATTCGTCCAGCTTCTAATTCTTTAGCTGACCTGCATCTCTCCATTGAGAATCTTGTAAACTTCTTTGGAATCAATGAAATTTTGGTAGACTTTATGCTGCTCATCTGTAAGACGGCAAAATAAGACCTACAGGGAAAAAAAGAAAAGAAACCATAATTTCAAAAAAGTAAAAATTTAACAGAATAAAATAACTAAAATATCAACAAAATTTCTTAGGGTACAATGTATGCAATTTTAACAATGCACCTCTTATTAAAACATGACAACAATCTCTTTCATAGCTGAACAAAGAGCATAGTTATTCACCCCCGTCCCTCCACTTCTGTCATTCACCCACTTCCTTGTCCCCACCCCATTGTGCCAACTGCTCCTGAAGATCCTGAAGACACAAGCAAGTCCAGGACCCAGGTATGCACATCCTCCTCCCTAGCCTCAATATGCTAAGACCGTCCCCCCTTCCGTGACCCTTGCCCACACTCCACAGATCTGACCAGAAACCTCAACCTTGCCTGGAACACTCCCTTTCCTGGAGTTCTAAGTGCAGGCCCACAAGTTCACCAAACTTGTGTCTGACAGCAACTCCTACCCTCCCAGCCCAACTGTGTTAATCACTCCATGACACGGCATTCTCTGGCTCTCTGCCCCTCACCCCTCCTTTGTCCAAGTCCACCACTGCCATCTCATGGTGCAGGCCCACAAGTTCACCAAACTTGTGTCTGACAGCAACTCCTACCCTCCCAGCCCAACTGTGTTAATCACTCCATGACATGGCATTCTCTGGCTCTCTGCCCCTCACCCCTCCTTTGTCCAAGTCCACCACTGCCATCTCATGGCCTGGCTTTCTTCTTTGGCCAGTCATATTCCCATGGATGGTCCTTCAGCTACCCCTTAGCCAACTACTCGGACCCTTTTCAACCCATTACCCTGTAAACTTCCAAATGCAGAATCAACTCAACCATCTGCTTCTGCATTCCTTTATGGCCAGTGCCAAGTGGTGTCAGGGAATGACTCACATTGGTGGTGGCCTGCCACTTCCCACTCCCACCCCGGGGTCCTGCACGTGCACTCTGCCCGACACCTCCTACAAGTCCAGAATGCAGAGCTGAGGCTCCTGGTGCTCCCCAAGACACCCACCGAACCACCCAGCCACCTCTGTCTCAACCTCTACTTACAAATGATCGAACAAATAAAAACAAAACAATGAGAATCAAACTAAGGCTACCAGAATCAGTCATGATTCCCAGTTTTTACTCCCTAAAATGTCTCTACTTCTGCATCCACCTCACCTTATTTCCTTTATTCCCAGAGGAAGAGGTTCCTGGGCAGGATCAAGGGCAGCCCTCCAGCCTTTGCATGGGATCTGAAAACCCACTGCTCTTCCTGGGGACAGTGACCCGTTAGACTCTCCAAAAGTCAAGGGGGAAACTCCCTGAGGAAACAGCACCCATCCCGTCTCTACTTCCTCACTTCCAGCCTCTCCTGAAGCCAGCACCTGGCACGAGCCTGGCGGGCACCTCTGCTGATGCCACTGATGCCATGTTCTGGATGCCGCCGCCCATGCCTTCCTGGTTGCCAAACAGGCTGGTTCTTCCCAGCTCATTCCTCCGACACCTGCCTCAGTGAGTCCACCTCTCCTCGCCCACTGCCTCCCATCTGCCTCACCGCCCAAGTATCCCCAGCCAGCTCCTCGTCTTTCACCCTCATGTGCATGTTGCTGTCCCTGGCCTGCCTGTCACTCTACACATGCTCCTTGGGCAAACGCAGACTTGCCAGAGTTCCAGCCCCTTCACAACCACCACCTGGAAATGGCTGTTCCATGGGCACCCCAAATATAGCCTCACTTATCTCATCAGCTGTGCCCCCCCCAGGCTGTCTGTGCTTGTGAAGCTTCTGCTGCAGCAGATCCACCAGTGGCAACAGTGGCTTCCCGTAGCATCCTGCAGGAGGCCACCAGGCAGCAACAGCAGCTTTTAGCAACAGCCTCCAGCAGCAGCGGCCTCCCTGTGCCCCCCCCCCAGGGGTGTCCCAGGGGCGGGGGCACTGTGAATCAGAGCCACTTGTCCTTTATACTTAAGTCTGACAACCCAGGACACCTGGGTGCACATGCACAATTATAGTAGACAATAACCAAGGAACACCTGGGTGCACATGCATATTTACATCAAATGCTCGGCAAGATTCCAAACCCCTGAGGGACCCTGACCATTTATCTTCACTTTCCCTACAAGGACTGACTGGCCTCCCAGCTCCTGAGACCCTGGTCCTTTCAGTATTGCTGGCTACTGCTGTTGTAAGCTGCTGCTACTGCTGAGGAAGCTGAGGACTGAGCTTGTGTTGTCTGCCAATGGCTCCGGGATCTTTCCCAATTACCTAGCTCATGACCTACATGTGAGGGGTCTATGACCCAGCCTGGTATGTGAGGGTTCTGTGACCCCATCTGTACGACAGGTTTGAAGGGTCTATGGGCCCAAGTCCTAGCAATACAATCGGCTACGTTGGCAGGATTCCAACAATTGCCCTAATCCTACAGTCCTTGACTGCAATAATTTTTGAGGAAAATCGCAGAATATGAAGCAGACACGAGAGTGAGGATGAGAAAGGACAAAAAAGACACCAGAGCGCTGGCTAACAATTGGAGACCACTCAGGGGGCTGTGGCCTGAGGAAGCAGCATCAAGGGGAGAGCTCTCGGGGACCACAGAGATAAAGGGCTAAATCTGGAGATAGTTTGGGGGAAGGGAAGAACCAGGGATGAAAGTGGCTTCGGTGACAGATCTCCACAATCCCTTAAAGTTTCAACATTCAAAGTTGATAGTGCACTTACTTTTTAGGCATCGAGTAGAAGACACAGTTGTCTATTAAGATTACAGAACATTAGGGTAGGCTGGCTTGTTAGCTCAGCCGGGTATAGTGCAGGGTTAGAACACCGAGGTCAAGAGTTCAGATCCCTATACCTACCAGCTGCTAAAAAATTTAAAACAAAGACTTGAGAACATCAGGATGGAACTGAAAAGGATGAGCCTTTTCACTCCTAAGTCAGACCTCATCACTTCTTTGCTCAGTACCTGCCCGTGAATATCCTCCTCTCTCACAGGAGACTCCGCAGTCTTCCCCAGGACCAGCCGGCCATCTGACTTCTTCCCTCAGGAGGGAGAGCAGAGCCTGTGCACTAGAGGAGGAGCCCTGCTGAGGGCAGATGCCTGGCAGACTCACCTGCCCCAGACGGGTGCATGCAGACATGGGCCCGCTGCCCCCCAGTGCCAGGAGCACACCAGTTAGCCTCATCAGTCACACAAGGCAAAGTCAGAGTGAAGGGCAGGCTGCCTGGCAGACTCACCTGCCCCAGACGGGTGCATGCAGATATGGGCCCGCTGCCCCCCAGCGCCAGGAGCACACCAGTTAGCCTCATCAGTCACACAAGGCAAAGTCAGAGTGAAGGGCAGGCACACCTGTGCTTTAGGAATGCTTTATTAACACCTGATTCACAAACCTGCTCATTTTTATCGGGCAAGGAAAGGCTCATCTTGACATCTGACTTCATTCTCCGCAGTAGGTATGGATTTATGGTATCTCGCAAGACACACGCACACTTATAAGCAGTTTTAACCTTTAATAAGAGAAAAAGGGGAAATTACTGTGTGTTTAAGGAATGCATTTGTTCTTACCTCTCAATTGATTCCATTGCTTAAAAAACAAAATAATGGTCAACGGTTGTATAAAAACTAGTAAAAATTCTATATATTCCAGGGGGCAGTAGCTTTCCTAATACTATTATAAGTAAAAAAAAATCTCATTCACCAAAATGTACAACAAAAAAACAATTTTGTGCCTATTCTTCCTCAATACTTTGCCATAATTATTATTATATAGTTAAATCCTAAAGAAGGGATTTATTTTGTTCTTGACCACCGTCTAGGGGAAAAACTGCTTTTAAACGAATCTCTGTTTATAATCTTGTATTCTCCAAAAGTAACAAAGGAACTGCCACTCTGCAAGACTTGAGATCAAAAGATAACTCAGGGGAGAGCTACCGCACTGGGAGCAGCCAGCTAAAACACAGAGATTACCGCCCACTGGAGACTATAAGAGCACATTCAAGAAAAGCCCTGTGATCCCAGAAATGAAAGGTCACTTTGGCCTAAAATGGAGCATATGGTTCCATAAGTTCCATAATGGAGCACGGTCACATGAGATGGGTATTAACTGCACAGGGAAAGACAAAGACCCACAGCCCAGGAAACCACTCCCTCTGCCATTCTCTTAAAGGCAAACAAAGAATTCAGTAAATTATAGATACTTAAAAAAAGATCTAAATAGGGCCGGCCCGTGGCTCACTCGGGAGAGTGCGGTGCTGATAACACCAAGGCCATGG